GTTCATCTCGGCATGCGTGATTTAAATACTAAGCACTACTCTTGGTCAGTAAGTAGGCACAACATAACTGATGAAACCGAACGTAGCTCTTCCTTTGGTTCGGCTCAGAAAACGAGACTACCGTTTGATTTCTGGTCATGAAAAATGTGCTCAGCAGGTTTTTCCTTTTTTTTAGAATAGGCATAGTAAAAGCAAGAACACTATTTAGACGAAGGATGTGGTGATTTATCAGGAATTAAACGCAACAGTATTGGCTTCACGGAGCATTTGTCTGTTTAATATATTTCCTCCAGCATTAGACCTTTGAACGAAAATTTCGCTGGCATTTAAAAGTATAAGCTAGAGCAGTAAGCTTTGGATCCATTGTCCCGCGTATTACTGAATGTGATTTACCTGAGATTAGTCGTTCTTGTAGATAGCTGAAAAGGTAGCTAGAAAACACTACAGATAACTCCCTTCCCCAGATTTAGGTCCGAACATATCTGACAATTGGTGCACTCCGGAGTGAATCTATATACATTCATAATCACTCGGAAGAAAAGAGTATCTGGCTTAATTTCAAATGATTTTTGACGGGTTTCTGCAGCAGAAACACTCTTTGAAGTAGTTTGTGTAACATCGGCGAGCGTCTGTACCAACAAGCATACAATTTTATCACATTAAAGAACTCACTGCTTCTGCATTCGATTGCTACTGTTTTGTTAGACTGACATTGAACGCCATTTTCATCAATGTACGCAAAGCATTGACTCAAATCGGTCTCGTTTCCGTAACAATGGCCTATTATCGCCACGTTGCGTCCCGTCGACGTTAGATCCTCGGGCATTGGTACCTATTAATATTGGTGAGAGAAAACCATCAGAAATAAGGAAGCAGTACAGTATGAATTAAAAAATTCTGAGTATATGGGTCTGCGGAATACACTTTGGACCATATGTTTTACTAGCTGGTTGTCCGCGAATGAGGATACAGTAAAATTTCATACAAAAAACCTCGACATAAACATTGGCGGGCTTGGAGTATTATAAGAGGGTCATTGTGGTTTCACTTTGGAAACCCAGGGAAACATCTTTAGAGGGGAGATTTGTTTCTGTTATTTTGCTATTGTTTTTTTTTTTTCTGTAACAGTTCATCAAGAGAACTAATCTGTCTAACGTGAAGATCGAATGTTACTGGCCTAAAGTGTGTACAAGGTTGACCTGAGTTGGTTATTATTCAGTTGAAATAGGTCTCTAAACATAAGTCGCATTGACATCCCCACACTGACCGTTTCGCAACATATGCATTTGTCAACGTACATTTGCAGCCCCTTATACGTGCCAGGCAGACATAAAATTGGCGCCCAACAAATGGATGCGAATATTCCTGTTTTAGGTGTTTGCATGAGTAAAGAAGGAAAAGAAGTGCGGATCACAGGCAAACGAAACGCCGCAAAATACGAGCAGCTCTGTTTTCTGCATAACTGCCTCCAGGATGAACTGATGCCACGATGTCTAAGATATGTGGCTACGATTAACACGCCTATGAATCGAGTTGTGAGATGTTTTCATAAACGGGTGACGAGAGCTTCTGATTGATGAATGCCCCCGCTGTCTACAAAAGTACAAGCCTAACATTTGACATAAGAGATGGGTGTGTGCCCACATTCGTAATGATCCGATCGCCAAACATTTTGGGAAGAGTATCTCTACTTCGGCTCATCACAGAAAGACAACAATAGGGAAATTTATGAACGGAAAGTAAATAAGTTAATAATAACAGACACTCGAAGCTCAGAGTTGGTCCACAAGATCTCGTCTAAGCAGTCCTATTTAAGCGCGTCTTCATACTCATTGCAGCAAGCTAGAAAAAAATACGCGAGATCGAATACCAACGTGATTATTGTTCTTCTTTATTCTATTGAACCCTTTTTGGCCGGGCTTTGTGACGTCAGGGCCGTTTAGAAAGTTCGGCTATCTGCTGAGGAGGTTGTTTAAAGTGTCAGTACGATAAGATATTTTTTGCGTATTCTGGGGTTGTCCAGTTCATTATAGAGGCATTTATAGCATACAAGGAAGAGGTTACTGTTTTCAGTTTATTTCCGTATCCTCGCGCGTTCTTCGTTGTGCATTGACTAGACTAGTGTCCCTTTCACTCCACAGCAGCTTTTTGAGAGAAAGTTATTCCAAGGTTTACTGTGAGCGAACTTGCACGGTCTTTTTGAAGTAGGCAGGTTCAGGTTAGCACATAGCACGTCGGGAAATGAACGATTTTTTTATTTTGACGTGGTCAAAATTCCCACACACAGTATGCCTTTCTACAGACAACCATGGCAATTTTTATATACCTTCCATAGTCCGTCATTACGCAGCTTTTATACTTCAGCTTTCAGGTTGGGTGACCCTGGGGCGCCTGACCTAAAAAAGCTAAGATCTGTGTTTTAGGGGAGAGGCCCAAACGAAGTCAGATTCGTATAATTTGAAGACCCGTCCGCCTGCAGTTTGCGGAAGAGGAGAAGCTGAGGCGTCTAACAAACTATTCTTGAATACACAAGTTCATCGTCAACCACCCTGACCCAATTTTACTAAAGACGCAGACTAAGATATGGGCGAGAGAAATTTAGCTCTACATAAAGTCATCTGTCATAATTCACTTACCGCATTTTTGCAATTGCGATATCCTACAAATCACGATGGAGTTTTTCGAGCTGGTAGGTGTCCGTGGTGCTTGTAACTGGGACACAAATTGTGCTGACACTTTAACTCTCAGCGACCTGCTACTTCCAGCTTTTAAGGGAAAGCATACTATTCTAATTTGTTTTGAACAATTGAAGAAATGCTGTTGAGTGTATCAGGAAGTATTTAGCCTCCCCCGTAAAGTTTTGGCAGATGTGCGAGGAAGATCTCAAATGTGAAAGAACACCTGGTACACGTACACTTTAGAAACTACGAATTTGAACAGCAGAGAATGAAGGCACGTAGACGATTCGGTACATGTGGTAATTAATGCAGCGGGTTTGAGAAGCGTCAAAACGGATGAAAAATGTGGAGGACTGAAAGCAATCGCTTATCTTTAATTGCGAAAATGAAGTTCATTTTCAGTGCTATCTTCTACTGGGAAGTTCAGATGCATGCAGGTTTATTACCTCAATGACTTTCCCTCCAATGCCGTGATTGATTTGTTTGCAGGCGACGATGGCGTCGATAGTGGTGAAGTGGTCTGGGCAAACCCCGCCCGAAAGCTGCTCGTCGGAATGTGGATTTATAATGAGGATGCGAGCAGCAGGTTTCTCTTCTATTGAACGGACATATTCAAGCGGCCGAAAGACCCACCCAACAGCCGGGGCTGATTCCACGGAAAATGGTACCTGAATGAAGTAAAGTTAAATAACAATTTTCAAATGTAGATCAGTAGGGCCTTGGATAAGGTAAATAGTCATGGACAAATAACGCAGACTATTTTGTATTAAAATACCTAAGTCAGTGTCGGATCGCATGAAATGGGAATCAAAATTCTGCAATTTTTTTCCGATTATGAATGATGACTTAAGTGGTTTTTTGGACATCTTGCAATATAATGCAATGGATTTCAGGCACACCAGGATGCCAACTTTTGGATGCGCGTCTTTCCATCGTCTGTATAAACGTTCTCGGTAAAAAATTACAGCTTAATTGATAAGTATTTTTCGATATTTTTAGAAGACTTGTTCACATACATTCTGCCTCTTATTTATTTAGCAGGAAGATGTGTCCTTTTCAAAGTTTTTATCCAGAAGAAGGGTCCAACAGATTTGTAAAATTGCTTAATTATTTTAGGCTTCGTTTTCCATCTAAAATTTGCAGTGCAATAGTTTTATGTTTTTCGTTGGATGAATAGCATATATTCTTCTATGCCATTAAGAAAATACTATATATTGTCCCTAGACGTTGCGAATAATGCTGATTATGTTGAGTAGTTCATAGGGCATTAATCAGTTGACTGATATGATGGTAAATAATTGGAAATTTTGCGGTTTTAACACGTATAATAAGTTACTATATCCAATCATTTGCCTTTCTTCGAGTATTAAATCTAAAAAAGAACGTGACTAACCATTAAATGTTTACGAGTAAATATACTTTTGAGTCTGCTTTCTAGTAAATGTATTTGAATTTATGATAGTGTCGAAAATAATAGAAAAACGGTATACTACAGTAGTAGTACAGTAGTAATGCGGTCTCTGCAGGTGCATTAGGGCACTGTGCGCGGTTTGGCGGGTTTGAACTATCTTAGGATTATTCTCATGCATAATGAGTGTTAATTACGGCCGAACAAGTTTGAAATTCTCCACATCCTTTCTACAATGAAACTCCCGTCCGATCTATAAAATGATTGTTTACACTCTTTCGAAGGCTGTCCCTCTTCTCCCTTGAACGCTGGCCGCTCTCTCACTCAGATGCCTATGACTGAATACTGCCCTTCCCCGGTCTCGGCCCCTTCTTTCGATTTTACACTGTCACATTTCACATGGAGACCACCGTGAAGAGACATGGCGACGACCCCCTCTCCCTTCTTGACCCAGCTGCCGCGGCTACTCCGAG